CTAGTCTTTGTTAAGCAAACTTACGAAACCTTTCCAAACAGCAGAGTAAGCCTATTATTGATTCTCACAGAGATTGCTGAAAATAGACAAGTAGGAGCACTAATACTTCTAGGAGTCTGCACTTTTGCATCATCTCCTGCAAATTGCTTGAAAGATCCTAAGGAGCAACAGTAGCTACTCTAGCTCTGTCTCACTCTCTCCCAGTTTTCAATTTGTTTTCATTATTCTCCAATTCAGAACTCAACTAGACAGCAGTGAAAGACACAAGAACAAAAATTAATATTTTCAGTATGGGCTTCCTCATCATGCATAGATTTACGAATTTCATTTTTTATGCAGAAATCATGCTTTTTTTTCTACAACCAGAGAAAGAAAATCTTTAATTGTTTTCTTATTGCCTGAAGAGAGCTTCAAAGACATCTTGCTCCATGTCGTCATTTACATTTCACATTAAATGCAAAATATGTTTGAAATGAGCAAATATTTGTTTTAATTTACTCCATCTGTTAAATGAAATACTAAAAAGACAACTAAGCCACCACATTGAATTCAGCGATTTGTAAACAATTTATATGTTCATTTGTTCTGGGTTAAAAATGCCCCCAAAGCATCATTTTTATGAAATCCACAAAGTAAATGGTATTGTATTAATCTGATGGATGCAGGGCATGGTTTCTTTCTTTTCACTTCATTAATTTATTTCCTAACTCGAGTTAATTAGTGAGAATCGTATTTTTGAGAGCTATTTGAAACACAACATGGTGGGGGAGAGAATCTGGCAAACTGATTTGGAAAGCTAGCTAGCTGCATAGGGCATATACTAAATATCAGTCTCTTATACCACAAAGAACCTCTCATGTAAGGAAACTGATTACCATCAACAGTTTACATTGGTGAAGAGAAGAGGATAGACAAGAAGGCTGAACAAAACATGCTAGGCTGAATGATCTTTAAGGGGACTGACTTTCCTTTGTAAATTCTATGTTTCTACTCCAGGCACTTTGGGATTTTTTTTTTTTGCCTCAAAGCAACATCATTAGTGAGGGGTGAAGACTCCATTAGAAGACTAGACACATAGACCCCCTAGAACATAATCCTTGGTCAAAAATTAAAGAGAAACTATTCTCAATTATTTCTATAGACTTTTCAGTAAGGAGCCCTAGGCCAATGGTTTCCAACCTTGAATGTGAAGATCCATTTTGAACATCAAGGAATTTCATAGGCCCCTCCTCCACATGATAGTAGATGAACTAGTACTATCCACTGAGAAATACATGGTGCCAAAAAGTCATCACGAATTCAATAATACATTTTACGTGAATCTGCATTTTATTCATCGCCAGCATCAACACACAATTTTAAAATAGTAATACATGTATGTACAAAATACATGTGTTTATTCAGCCTACTAAAGATATGTTTGTTTATTTATCATACTAATTAAAGCTACAAATTATGTTGCAGCTAAATGAAAAAATGGCAATGTTTAGTGTGCACGTGGATTCCCTGACTCTTTCTAATAATTCTGTAGACCCTGGAAGTCCATAGGCAAAATTGTGAGTCTTGACCCACCTCCCCTTTCCCGCCTGTTCCCTACTCACTACTCTCAACCTCAGCCTCCAGACTTTAGAAAAGGAGAGTGGTTCAGTGGAAAGAAGACTGGGTCCACAGTCAGAGAAGCTGAGTTCCTATCATGATTCCACTACTTATGATCTGTGTGACCTTGAGAAAGTCACTTAATCTCTGTTTTAGTTTCTGCCATTGTAAATGAAGAAATTGGACTAGTTGGCCCCTCAAGTTCCTTCTAGCACGAATCCTATGAAGACCTATTCTCCTCAGGATCTGATCTCCATTCACATGAAAGAATTAATGACTAGAAACAGCTTAAAGCGTATTTCCCATACTTGGAATCCTTGTATTTCCCAGAGAATAAAAAGAAGCTACATGAGAAAATGTTAATTTATGATAGTGATAATTTCCCCTTTAAATATTATATATCAAACATTTTTCTTGCAGTAATTTTTCAGTATGAAAATAAACTTTTTCCCTGTTTTGTTAGGAAATTTCACAATCCCCTCCCCCATTCTCCTAAAGGGTTATCACAGTCCCAGATCAGAATTAATGGGTTCATCTGCATATTGTGAGACCCAAAATATTCCCTGGACAAATCATTCTTAAAATATCTGTTTGAAGTGTTACCTCTGGGAATTAGGGGGAAAGTGAGATTTGAACCTTAACAAGGGTCAGTGTGTTATGGTGGAAAGAGCATTGATTCTGGGATCAGAGGGACAGGGTTCAAACCTTGTTTCTGATGCCCACTATGTCACCTAACCTCTCTGGGCCTCCACTTCCTAATCTGTAAAATGAGTGGCTTGGACTAGATGGCCTTCTAGGTCCCTTCCAGCTTTCTTCTAATGATCCTTTAAATTAAAGGAATGACATTCTGCCAGATGAAATTTCAGTCATCAACAAGTCAGGTACCTTAGACATACAAGATTTCCTTCCAGGTCTAACCATCTTTCTGATTTGAGTCTTGAATGTCCCCCAGCACAATACAACAGAAAACCTAACTACATCTCTCTCAATCCTGTTACTTCATTCTGACCGTTATTCCATTTAAAAAAAAAAAAGCTTTACTGAAAATGCTTCTTTTTCCTCCCCTCCACAAAGATCCCTAGAGTAGGAGTCAGGAAACCTGGTTCCAAGTAGGACTCTGTCCTGAACTTGTATAATCCTAGGCCATTTGCTTCTCTGTTCTGGGACTTGAGACCATCATTTGTTTTAAATGAGGAAACTAGCTGAAGTTATGGGGCAGCTAGGTGGCACAGTAGAGAGAGTGCAGGTCCTGGAGTCTGGAAGACATCTTCTTGAGTTCAAATCCAACCTCAGACACTTACTAACTGTGTGACCCTGGGTAAGTCACTTAACCCTGTTTGCCTCAGTTTCCTCATCTCTAAAAATGATCTGGAGAAGGAAATGGCAAAATACTCCATTATCTTTGCCAAGAAAACCCTAAGTGGGGTCACAAAGAGTCAGATACGACTAAGAAACAACAATAAAAGCTGAAGTTGATATTCCCTAAAGGTCCCCTCAGACTGTGTAACTTTCTGATTTCAGGGATTGCATGGTATAGTGGGAAAAATGATGCATCTGGAGTCAGAGGACCTAGATTCAAACCTCACATCTGCTACTTATTACCTGCGTGACCTTGGGCATGTACCTCTTTGGGCTCCAATTTCCTCCTCTATAAAATGAGGGCATTGGACTAGATGACCTTTGACCCACTCTAGGTCCAAGATCCTATGATTCTAATATACCTCCATTAAAATCCAAAATCCTGAAGAGCATTGGCCTGCACTTTTCTCTGTTCTATGATGATTTCCATAGTACATTATACCTGGGGAACGTATCTTTTCAAAGAATGAAGAAGGCCCATAAGTGATTATTCTGAGAATAATCACAGAAGTTTGGAAAACAAAGACTCTCATCCTCTCTTAATTTGATATCTGCAGGGATTGAAAGCAAAAAAAAGTTCTAGTAATCTGTGCAGTCGTTGTGGTTCTGCTCAACAAAAGATCACTGCTGTATTTGGAGGCTACGATAAGGAAGCAGACAGACCATGGTTGTCACCCAAGCAGTACCCAGGGAAGGCATATCAGAACACTCCAGCCTTTTGAAGAAGGCTCCAGATGGTGGCAGAGAGAGCATCTGGTGGCAGGGAAATAGTACCCTCATTAGAATATGTCTGATTCAGGTAGTTCTCTGAGCACAGGAGAAAAAATGAGAACCAAAAGAAATTACCCAAGGAAACAGACTCCATGGCAAAGGAAGGACTTCATAATTCAATTCAATTAATTCAATCAAGTTCCTCCTGGGGTAGTCACTGCAGCTACCAATACAAAAAGGAAAATAGTACCTGCCCCCATAAGTTTACATTTTACTGAAATATTGTACTGGAATAACATACTAATACTCTTGCATTTATGTAGCCCTTTGCCTCAAGGCATTTTTGCATTGATTTTTCATGTGATCTTCATTAGATCCTTTTGAGGTACATACAATAGATAGATTTAATACTACTTTACGTATGGAAATATTGAAACTGGGAGAAGTTACACATTTAAGATTATTCTTTCTGCACCGTAAGGCTGTGGTGGTACTTCAAGAGAAGTTAGATCTCCTCATTTCTAGCCCAGCATTTTTATTTTTTGGTCCAGACCATGATGTCATCCGTATAGGGAACTCCCTGATGGGGACACTACCTCTATCAACGACAATTAGCAACTGGCCTGAAATTTGCTGTCTTATGGAGTTGACTGGGCATTCAATGAGAACTCAAGAGATTTGCCCAGAGACATATAGCCAGAATGTGTCAGAATGTGAACCCAAATCTCTCTGGATCAAGAACAACTCTGTCTACTACATCTTTCTATCTCTTTAAAAAAAAAAAAAAGCTGTACGGATACCTTTTGCTTTTACACAGAGTTAGTTCCAGATATATACATATAGATGTGTGTATGTGTGTATGTATATGTATATATGTATATGTGTATATATACATACATCTATATACACATAGATGTGTGTCTATATCCCCCAAAGTCTTAATGTAGTCATAAGCTATTAAACCTCACAACTGCACTAAGACTTTTGGGACTCACTGTATGTGTATATATCACCTTCAAAAAAAAAAAAAAAGAATCCTCCTTTATAAGAAAAAAAAAATTAAGCAAAACCAGCTAACACAGTGATAACATCTGACCATGTATGCAACCCAATGTTCTTCCCACAACCAATCAAGGTGGGGTGGGAAGGAATCAAAAGAATCAGGTAAATTCCTAATTTTGCTTCTGAACTTGTCAAAATAAGCCCAAACCCATCTTTATGCAAAGGAGTTGCTATTAGACTTAAAATACTTGATGCTGCATTTCACAGATTTGGGCCTGAAACTCAGAAGTCAGGAAGGAGGTGCATGACTGCCTTCTGGGACAGGGACTCACCTAGGAAGATGATGGTCTGCTTCCTGGCTACTTTGCTCTCATCACTCTCTGTCTTCCTCAACTGATGCTGCCCTTCCATGGCCAGCGTGCCCTTCTTCCCCTTCATTAGTACTCGCATCATGTTTCGGCACATGAAGGCCACCAAGAGCAGGACCACAAAGTAGATGATGAAGGCACTGAAGATGCTGGATTGAAAAACTGTCCACCGGCTGGAGAGGCTGGTGCAAATGGACATATTGGAGGTCTCAGGGTGCTCGAGGTGCCGTGTCCGTGTGCGATTGCAAAGGAGTCCACGGTGGTTAGGCACCTGGACCAGAGGGTACTCAATGCCCATGGCAAAAAGGAGGGGGAGCGCCACCAGGCTGGAGGTGACCCAGACAAAACAGATCAGCAGCTTTATCTGAAGGGGCCCTGAGACCGCCTTGTACCTGAAGGGGTGGCAAATAGCCACATAGCGCTCAAAACTGAGAGTCAGCACGTGGAGGAGTGTGGCATAGCTGCAGGCTTCAAAGAGAAAAGTGTGCAACTTACAGGACAAGTTATTGCTACTTGTAGTCAGAGGGTTCCAGATCACACTGTAGAATTCCATCGGCATGCCTATGAGGAAGACCAAGATGTCAGAGCAGGCCAAGCTTGTCATATGGTCTGCCACTGCCTTCTGCAAGTAGCCTTTCCTCTGAAGCAACTGAGTAACATGAATGGTGACGCTGTTCCCGAGGATGCCCATCACAAAGATGATCGAGTAGACAAGGATGAGGGTGATCTTCATCCAAGCGGCCACTTCAAACTGTGGGACGTGGGTGTGATCAATCACCTGGGAGCAGTCTTGGGCTGAGTCTCTCTTGGCAGCCATGAGCAGAGAAAGCCTGGTTCCTGACCCACCCCCTGGTAAAACCAAACCTTCTTCCCTCCAAGAGCAGGCCCTCTAAATCTCTTTCCTCCTCAGCAGAGCTGGTAGTACAGGTATCCCACTGCAATTTTCACCTTATCAATTAATTCACCTGTTGATTGCCCTCAGCAGAAAACATCCTGAAGAATTTCAACCCAAAAGAGCTATGGGAAGAAACATGATAGCCAAGGTTTTGGGAGTGCGTGGATCACCATGAACAAGAAAATAGAAAGAGAACTTTTCTGACCTGTCAGGTGGATCAAGAGAGCTACTCAGCCCCAACAGTGGGTGAATGTCTCCGCCTCTCGTGCCTGTAGACTGACTCCACCTCTGCCCAACCCCATCCAGTTAGTTCTCTCTCTTTCCCTGGAGCAGTGAAGGAGGGGGACAACCGTTGTTAATCATTAATGAAGTACCTGATCAAATACAATGTACACTCAGTTTTGTGGACACAACCTGGCTCTTGGCAAAGGAACCACCCTCGCTGAAATCAGATCTTTGCTGTCTTTGTGCTGGGTGAGGTGTAGCTGAAATCTCTCCTTTCTTCCCCTCCCCCCTCTCCCCAGCCACCAGTGCATGGGAAAGTGATAGGGGTAGGGACAAAAGCAGAAGTCTGGGAGGATTCCGTTGATCTGTTCACTTTAACTTTGAATCCAAGGCTTAATTTGGGGATTGCTAACTGCCCTCCCTCTCCTTGTTGAACTCTACAAGCATATGGGTACTGGCGCGCGCGCGCACACGCTCACACACACACACACACACACACACACACACACACACACACACACACAC